GTGGGCCTTCCACACTAGGTGAGCAGTGAAGCAGAGCAAAGGGCTGCTGACCACTCTGGTCAGATCTGTAAAACCAGAAGTTCCTTTACACACCCAAGAAATCTGTCTTGAAAAAAAGTAGTAAATTCCAAAAAGACTTACAAGGTCATTTAAAAATGCTGATACATGGTTCAACTTAAAAGGACTTTATAAAGTAGTTGCATGTTAGTTTGGAAGAGCTGGGGAAGGAGACAGAGACAGCAGCATGAGTTGATCAAGACCACATCAAGTATCACATGCTGCTTTAGAGCCTAGTATGCACTAATAGAGTCTACTTGAACAACCTCTTTGAAACCACCTTAAAACACTATAAAGCACGGGTCCAACAGCTCAAAGACAAAGAAAGCAATTATACTGAGTTCTGCTCATTTATCACATGCCTTTCTGTGACCAGGCCTAGGTTAAGGTTCACATTTGGGGCACAGTGTAAGGACTCATGCCCAACCAAACTGGAACTTTGAACAGGTATAGCCATTTCCAAGGGCAGATGGAGTGGTCCCTATACTTGAGTGGACCATTGAAACCTACGGACTTTTTGCTTGCACTTAGTGACAAGACACATTTTGCAGACAATCTGGTCCAAATAAACTTGCACAAAAGATTCCATTTACATAACCTCAGACTAAAATGAAATATTTTAAAGAGGTAAGAAAGGTGCCAACGTGAAAACTGAGCCAACGTGCAGAACAGCACTATGCTCATGTAGATGAAAAAACGGAAACAAATAGACAAGTGGAAGCATGTGCAGTGGAAGAAGTGAACAATATCACCTACATCCTCAAAATCAAATCAGCAATGTTTCTATTAGTTCCAGTTTGCAACACTTCCAAGTGCATGTCCACCTACAGCATCATCTTCCTACTCTGCTTGCCTGATTAGATGACTGGTTAAACCAAGCTTTAGACCTATCTGCATTTTAGAAAGGATGAAATAGGCATATAAAATAAGGAAATTATTTTGCTGAATAGCCTATTGTTGAAGGAGACAAAGAACTTTTGTATAGCAGTATTAACCCTTGCATTACTGAGTCACTTCCTAGAGTTTGGTTTGGTTTCTGAATTTTGGAAAAGTACTTTAAACAGTTCTGGGTGTTCAACAAAGGTCCTCTGCATAATGAAGGGGAATAAGATGGAAGCAAGCTGATATGACATCCATTTCCCCAAGTCTGATGAGACTGAAGTGTTATTTCCTTCACAATCTGTTATACTGAAATTCCTTTTTGCCTTTCATAGAAATGAAAAGAGATACTAAGCGAGACTTTCACATCTATAAGTAATACTGGTTTTAATAACACTGATAAAAAGATCTGGTTTTAAATAAGAGCAATTTTAAATGTAGTTATTAACTTCAGCATAGTAATATTTCCTATAAAAAGGAAGAGGGGGTCTTTTCCATCAGTAGTAGTGTGATTATCCTTTCCATGGGAAGTTCCAGGTGTTAGACTGGCTTTAGCTAGAAGTGACTAGCCAGATTAGGCAGAACAATCTATTAAACACCGTTGACACAAGCATTGATAAAGCAAGCAATTCCATCAATGGGAAAAATTCTTAATTAGAGGTAATTTTCAAAGTGAAAATTATTGAAAGCCCCATGGCATGCAGGTGATTTCAGGGGACCAGTTGGCAAATTCACACCGGATTTATACACATGCAGAACGGTCATGCCATCAGCAGCATTCTCTTTTCCAGTTAACAGGACCACCCTAAGCTCAGAAGTATAAAACAATTACAGGAAAGTTGCAGATGTGAAATGCTGTTAGCATTACATGTTTAGTGTATCAACAGATCCTGAACTAACCTTTGAAGTTCAGGTCCATGGTGGCTGAGCAAAACCACCCCAATGTCAGCTTTATTTTGATTATTTTCATGGAAGAGGCAGGAAAAAAACAAACAAGCATTGCAAATAAAAGGCAACAGAATGTAATGTTACAATTCTCCTTTTGGAGAAAGGCAACCTACTGATTTTACTTTCAATGTGATGCTTCCTTGCCAAGAGACTATGTTTACTGAATGAGAAAGTGAGACACGAAGCACTTATGATGCAAAGGACAAGGGGAACTTGGCTGATCTGCTCATCACCTGCAGAAAACTCCATGGACCAGTACGGACTGGATCTGTGCAATCTCTAACATGGCATACCATTTCCAATCCAGCTGAAAGCAGCTTTCTTAGGCAAGGGCAGTGTTTACTGTCAATAAGGACAAAGTGTCTTGCCTCAGGAGGAAGTGTCCACAGTCAGACTTTGGGGCTGTAAGTTTCCATTGCAAGAGAAGCCCGGGTTGCACTACTCTGCTTAGGATATAAAAGTGAAAAGGGCATCTGAGAATGCTTAATAGCCTACCTAACTTCTAAGTTACAGCTAATTAGACGTAGCATAGCTATAAGAAAAAGAGATGGAAAGTCCTTAGAAACCAACATCTGAAAAGACAGTACTTACTTAGGGCAATGTATTTATCTGCCTTAAGGTGCAATTAAACACCACAGATAGCATAAAGGCTACTTATGATCCCTTTCATTACAGCTTGGCATAATATGTCATCAAAATGCAAAGTTCCCCAATGGGTGGCCAGTCAATCCCGCCAGGGAAAAATTCACTTTCTTCAGAGACTTCTCTTTCTCACAGTGATCCCCAGAGATCTTTCCCCTTCCCCAACCCTTGCTTTCACAGGAGAGCGACACTGTTCCAACCTCCGAGCAGGAGATCGTATTCCACAACTAAAACGTGGATCAGCCGCAGCCGCTTCTGCCGTTGTGGGGTTCAGAGCTGTCACACCCCCCATCCCCTCCACCCCTCTCCGACGGGTCTTTTACCAGCCGCCCGGCCCTCCAGCTCAGGCACGCCTGGACCCCACATCTGGCACGGCTTCAGGGCGGGGAAGCTGCCTGCAACCTGCCTCCCCCGCCGCCCCGGCCCAGCCCTCGGTGCCTCTCCCCTCACGCTGGGTCCGTCCTGCCAGCCCGGCGCGGCGCGGAGGAGGCGGCCCCGGGGCCCGCTCGCTCGCCTTCAGGCTAAGGTCCAGCGGCCCTACCTGCTTCTGGACATCGGCATCGCTGAGCGCCATGGCGGCGGCGGCGGCGGCAGGGGCTCGAGGGAAGGCGGTTGGGGGCCGTTACCGACGGCGACGGGAATCAAATCCGGTTCGGGTCACAAGCTGGTGCGGCCGGCGCAGTGTCACGCCGCCCCGCCCACCTGCTCCTCCGGGCCAATAGCAACCTGAACTCTGGCTGGCGACACCGGGCGGGGGGGGGTGGCGGGTCCTTGCGCGCGGCAGGCTGCCATCTTGTGGTGGCGGGCGGGCCTCGCCGTCACCGCGCTCCCTGAGGGGAGCGGCGGGGCCGCTTCCTTCGCCCCCGCCGCGGCCCCCGAAGCCAGGCCGGGGGTTCAGGGGCGGGAAGGGGAAGTGATTTTTTATTTATTCCCCCCCCCCCCCCCCCGCCCTTGACGCGTAGTGTTTTTAGGGGTTTGGTGGCAATACCGTGTTCGGTGTCAAAAAGAGCTGAGCTTCCAAGAAGCGTCGTAACAACTTGTATCAGGGAGGAATTAGAACATGTCGAGAAAGCCGCTCCTAAGGCCCTCGAGCAGATACGTGCCAGCAGTGCTTTGGGCTCCCCATCACGGGAAGCTTGGCTATTTCAAGGTCGCGTTCAGCTGTAGAAAGCTATTTGTAAAATCTCCCCGGTTTTTCCAGGTTTGGACTGACGAGAGCAGCGGGAGGAGGCAAGCAGGAAGGAGGAGGGGAAGGGCGGCCTCGCAGCCCCGGCTGTCGGGTGGAGGTGGCCTGGGGGAAGCCTTGTGGGCACCGCAGGTCCGTGGGCTTTTTAGGATGGAGAGTTATGGCACCAGCATTTCTCCACAGGAATAGATGGTGGGGATTCAAAGCGTTTATTAATAATTATTACCTTCTGTCATTTTGTGATGCAGAAACGCCCAACAACCATTTTCAAATGATGTGCTGATTCCCCAGTGGTTCTGTTACTGCCTCCATTGTTTATGGCAAAATGTGAAGCAATGTTCAACAACTTCCAATATTATTTGTCTATTCTAGCTGGCAGGAAGCTTCTATTTCCATCCTGCATGTACATTTACTGGAAAAATTAGAGCTGTTCCTTACAAACCTGTGTCAAATGTGGTATTTGGCATATGCATGCTTCTTCTGGTCTTGTTTCTATTTTGCTAATTTTTACTGTTTCTTTTCCTGTGTATATACATCTACACATAAATATATGTGTATATTATGTATATATGTAAATATACATACAAATATGTAACTTTTATATTTTCTCATGTGTATATTATTTTAGATATGTATATACATGTAAAAATATGTAACATATTTTCTCATGTGTATTGTTATGTATTTATTATATATAAGTATATACATATATACACATAAATTTACATATAAAAATGTTTGTAAGTTTCATATTTTCTCATATTGCAGTTACGTTGCAATGCAGGGAATCCCCTTGTATTTTGGGGCTTGAGGACACGTTACTATTATTTTGGGCACAATCTAAATAACATTAAAACAGAACTGCCTTCAGGCTTGCTTGCTTTCCCCCCGCCTCAGGGGAGGCTTTCCGCCTGGGGCTCTGACCCAGCTCACCCGACACCTGCAGCCCTGCGACCTGGATCGGGGCCGCGGAAACGGACTCTCCTCCGTTCTTTACCTCCACCCCACGCCCCAAAAAAAAAAAAAAAAAAAAAAAAAAAAGCGAGGAGAACGCAAAGGGGTTCAGACGAACCCTCCGCTTGCATCGCACTTTTGTGGGCGTGCCCGGGAGAGCGGGAAACCCGCGTCCGCCCGTCCCCGCCCTTAAGCTCCGGGAGCGCGGCCGCGCCGCCACCTCTTCCCGCCCCCTGCGCAGTCACGTGGTGCGAGAGCCCTCCCTGCGCCGCTTCCCCCGCCCCTCGGCGCGGGCCGGTGACGCGCGGCACGAGCGGCCGTGACGCGCTCGGCCCCCCCCCCCCCCCCCCCCCCCCGCATCATGGCGGCGGCGGCGGCAAATTAGGGCAGAGCTCGCACCGCCTCGCGCGCGCGCGCGCGCGCGGGCGCCCACCACCCCCGGCGTGACCGACCCGGAGCAGCGCCGCTCCTCGCCCGGCCTGCCCGCCCCCCCCCCCCCCCATCCTCCTCCCCGCCCCGCGCCGCTCGCAGGTGAGAAAGGGGGTGGGAGCGGGCGGGCGACTTTCATTTGTTTATTTATTTACCTAGCTAGCTATCCACTTGTTTATTTATTTATTGGTTTTGCCCCCCCCCCCCCAGCCGGCCGGGAGCGGGGAAGGTGTGTGGGGAAGCGGGCACGAGGACGGCGCGGCCGTTGGGCAGATCCTCTCCCCCCCCCCCCGCGCGCGCGCGCCGTCCGTGAGGGGCGGGGGGGGGGGGGGGCGGGGAGGGAGGGGAGCGTGCCGCTCTCCACGGGGTCGGTGGCCGTAGAACTTCCCCGGCGGGGGCGGGGCGCGGCGGGGCCACGCCCTCTCCGCTGCACGTCGGTCCCCTCCCGCCCCCGCCGTGACTGCGGCTGAAGGACGCGCCCGGGCCGGCCCTGAGGGCTGGCGGCGGTGACACCACCCCCCCCCCCACCTCCGCCTCGCCCGCCCCTCGCCCCGGCGGGCTGGGGGCCGGGCCCCGCCGTGTGACAGAAAGGGGCTGTGGCCCCCCCCGCGCCCCCGGCAGCTCCTGAAGGGCGGCGGCAAGGAGAGCCGGCGGCCCCTCCGCTGCGGGGGCTGCGGCCCGCCCGCACCTGCCGCGGTAGCGCGTAGGCTGCGACTCCAGCGCGGACCCCGCCGGCTGACTCATCCCGGCTTTTTTGCTCCTTGCCGGTTCTGCCCGGATATAAATATCTCATTCATCGCCGTAGTAACTGAGGCGCTTACGCTGCGATCTCGTGGGTTGCTCGTCTGCTCCGGCTCGGCGTTTGTCTGGCGCTGCTGAAACTTAAAGCCGGCGCAGGGCTTCTGCCTTACCTGCCTGTCCTCTTCCTGGCTTCTCAGCCCAAATAGCACTTGGCAAATTAAAAACCAAAGTGAATGAAAGCTTGTTAACAAAAGCTGCGTTTGCCATGATTTAATGTTGTGGTGAGATGGTTTCAAGCTGGAGAGGATTGAGAACCTTTATAGTAGATAACTCATACAGTTTTTGTTTTTCTTCCTAGAAGAAAAATCAAACTATTTGCCTAGAATGCTCGCTTAATTATATTTCTCTCTAAGGTCAACTAAAACCACTGCTCAGATAAGTGACTATCATGTTTTCCAGTATTTCCATCCATTAAGTGCCTCTAGAGTATCGGTAATGGATGCAGTATTGATTCATTTCCAGTAGGAATTGACATGTTTGGACTCAGTAGTTCTCAGTTTATTAAAAACAATCTCTTAGTCATACCATCATATATTGTTGGAAAAGTACACCGAAGAATTCATCTTCCAGCTTAATTGCAATTGGGTGCTTTGGAAAGTCCTACCTGTTACATGTTTTCAGAGGCAAGCTGCTGCAAGGTTAGACTAGTCCACACATGCAAGTCTCATCCCAAATCCCTACACAAGTCTTCTGGTAACATTGCAGAATGCTTGAATATTTTCCATCTTGTTGATACGGGGTGTGGTTCTGTAGACCTGCAACTCCTCAAAATTCGTTACATTTGAATAAAGAGCACCCTACAAATGAGAGGCTGCAGATTAGAATGATTTGAGTGTGGTTGCCTCTTGCAGAGATTGAGATCAGGAGGATGACCTAAACTTGTGGATGTATCGATGGCACACTGCCCTAAAAATGATTTGAACTACCATTTTATTGCCTTGCTAAATCTCCCTGTCTGAGCTTGGGTCGAACGCTTGCTGACTGTGACCACACGTGCTTTGAAATAATTCTCCAGCAGCAGGAAGTATTCTGCTGGAGCAGCTGTTTAGGGCAGTTAAGTCTGCAGCTGGTAAGTGAGGCTTGGGAATCTGGGTTGCAGGTGAGAACTGCACCCAGCGTTAGATTGACTCTGTTTTCAAGTGGAATTTAACTATGATCATGGTGGTGGTATTATTTGTAAAAAGAAAGCAATCTCTGACTGCGCTACTGTTTCTGGATCTGTGTGTTTAGTGCATTAGAAGCTGGTAGCGATGTTGATCACCTGCTGTGTTGTTTATAAACATGCAGCAAGATAGTTTGTAAGGCTACAGCTCTGAATGCAAAAGGCAAGTCTCAGACCTGCAACAGTTGACTAGATGTGCAGTAGATTTTAGTGGCAGCTGGTGAACTGTATTATAAGCTGTTGCATTTTGACTTTTGAATGGTGCGTGGTAAACACAGCTTGCTGCATGGTAGGAATTTGCAACTAAGGATTAAAACACAGAGCCTCATCGCTAGGGGATTATATTCACTATATTCATTGGTAGCCTTGCATTGCCCGTTATCTAACGTAAAACTCTTCTGTGGATTAGGATGTGACAGATTGCATGAGGAAATGTCAGGCTAACTGGAACTCCTGAGGTTGGTTGAGCAGCTCAGCCCACAGGAAACAAGTGACAGCAGGGTCGGAGGAATAACAAGCTAAGTAAGCTTCAACAGGTGTAGCCTTTTATTCCCCCAAGGGTGCAGGAACTGAGAAAGGTGGTATTTTTTGTAGGGACTGATTGGTAATAATTTTGATCTCTCTAGCTTTTTAGCAGGCAACATTCTTGCAGTGAATCTGTTATATCAGAAATAACCCTCCTGCCCGTGCTTTGAGGCTTATGTAGTCTGTATAATACCTTATTTCCACTGCTCCATTACATCTCTCATACAAGCCTTTGTCTTATTCTCTTAAACAGTTTCTGGACTCTCTTCCATTTTTCTCCTGCAGTGGAAAGCTCTCCTTCCTCTGATCTGATCTCTCAAGCTGTGTGTCCTTTTTTAATCCCACTCATTCCTGAAAAATGGCCTTTTCTGAGATATTTACAGTATCTGAGTCAATATTTCTCTATTTGTTTTTGTAAACAATAACAGTCATTCACAATTCAAAATGAGTAACTCAGTTGCTGTGCTGTGGGGTTTTCTCAAAGGAAGACCAGAGACACTGAAGTGCATTTCCAGTCTGACATTCATTTTTTGTATGAAGCTAAAGATATTTCTTCTGTTCAAGTTCTTAAGTCTCCCTCCTTATTTCAGTATAAAACTACCTCTCAGAATAGGTGAGGTAAAAGTAATTACTTTTTTTCATTCAGAGCTTTTTTTCTTCATTCTTTTCCCAGGGAAACATTAACCACTATTTAAATAAGCTGTGGTCTGATTCTCTCTTTTTTTTTTCCCTCCTCCCTCCAGAGGCGCTGAGCTAAGCATGCTGAAATTTTCATGAATTAGGCCTCACTGTTGCACGTGGATCACTGTGTTGGTATGGAGTCTCATGCTTGTTTTGATCAACTGTTTTTTTTCGGTCATTTTCTGCACTGATTTGGAATTACATTTTGAAGAATAATCTTTGTTATATATTCAGACTCGTTCTTTGATCCACGGTGTAGTGTCTGGATATCTCTGAACCATCCATCAGACTGATTCTTTCAGGACAGATCAGTTCAGGTTGTCTGGAAGGGCTCCCATTCACTGTGCAGGCATTACGAGAAGCCTGTTGATTTCAGGACTGTGAATCTCTACTGAACAAACCAGAACTGAAACGTGCTGGGGAGCTTTTGGTTTTTGATGAATGGCATCTTTCACACCTGGTGATGTGAACATGTGATGTGGTGATGGCATATGGGGACCTGGTCTGAAGAGCAGATCTATTGTTAAAGGATCCTAAAGTCTTCTGAGCAGTTATTTTTTTCCAAGTCTCCCTGCTTTATGAAAGACTCAGTTTATAGAAGCGGCTGAAGGGTAACTGTGTATTGTGAAAAAGCTGTGCTTATCCTCTTCTATAGTTTATTACGTGTCTGACACATGATACATTGCCTGTAGAGCACTCTGGGATGGAAGAGGCAATGTAAATGTAGAATTACTACTCCAGGGGAAGAGGGATGAGTGTTGACTCAAAGTTTTGACATCAGTTCACTCCTGTATAAATCACTTCTTTGGTTAAGCTGTAGCAAAGACTCAACTGAATCTTTCTGATAAAGGATTTCAGGCATTTTGAAATACATGGCAAAAGGCAGGGCTTCCAGAGTATAGTCTTCATGAGAGAGTCCTCTACTGTTTTCAGTACTGAATGAGTTTCAGAAACTAGAGTTCCTAAATATTAAAGAAAGAACGCTTAGCCAATTTTACACCAACTCTTTTCCTTTTGCAGCTTTTAGTTTGACGGATTAATTTTTCTTTGCCAAGCTACCTACTCACACAGTAACCATGCCACAAGCACTGTTACAGTTCTGTTTATCCTCAGTAACCAGTTGTATTGCTGTTAATCTGAATTCCTTTCCAGGGAGGAGGGGGGTTAGAAATTAGCCCAGATATCTTGCATATCTAGAGAGGTCAATGCTTTATCTTTTGCTTGCTCTGCTTATTATTTTTGATCTTGAGGTGTCATTTGCAGATTGTGCTTTGGTTTGGGAATCTGGTTCTCTCTCTTTGTCTCAAGGCATTTCCACTGTAATCAGGAACCCTCTTGACATGTTCCAACTTCTGTGCCCTGTATATAACATTTTTCTCATTCTAACTGCTTTAAATTTGGTGTAAATTTTTCTTCTAAAAGTAACTGCAGTCTTGCACTAGTAAATTGTCTAGATCCTTCAGTACCTGATAAGTGGCTGTTCTATAGCGTGAACTTTTTTTGCACAGCTTACATTTTGACAGTCATTCTGATGGCCAAGAATAGGTTACTACTTGTTTGGGAATGACTCTTTGAAGTAATGGAGAACTTAATTTTAAGAGTTTATCTTAAAGACCCAAGTATTATTATTTGATTCATCAAGTTGATAGCACATTGAAAGTAGTTATCCAGACTATTCTTAATACAAAGAGCTAAAACATGTTGATTAATCTGAAAGTTCCTTTCAATCTGCTGTATGGCTGTTTCCTCACTTCCATGTTGTTTTCTGAGTTGGTTTTTTTTTTTTCTTTAGCTTGCCCTTTATGGCAGTTTTAAATTTCTCTCTACCTCAGTTTTTACTGCTGTTTTTATCTGGATATTTGAAAAAAGCAACAAAACAATTAGAGTAAACCCAGGAAGTTTTTTTGCCAGATGTTGCTGTCAGGTGTGGATATCTGGTTTATAAGTATTAATGTCTGGGTGAGAAATCCAGGACACGCAGGCGTCTGTTCTTCAAGTCCCTACAATGAATGTGGAATTTCCTCTGTTGACCATATGTTTTCCATTGCTGTTGGAACAGTAAAATGAGTTCGAGGCAATTGTGGTCACTTTTTCTGCATTAAAAATTTTAAGTATCATAATAGTCAATCTCAGAAAGCAGAGAATTGGGAAAATACTCATTGGAGTTTCTAGGGGAAGAACAACTCCTCAGAACCTGGCTTTTTACCTCAAGTTTTGGTTAACTAAGTCTTCAGAATCCCTCAAAACCTCTTTGCATGAATACATGTGTATTTTTGTATGTAGTTGAGTTGGGAGGCATTAGGAGGCAGACACATGGTGAGGAGCTGTTTGATCTGCTTTAATGTGAGAGTATGTATGCCAAGCGGGAGTGAGAAATGCCACTGCTGGCAGCAGGTGGGCAGGGTGTTGGACTGGGGGGGCAGTTGGTTTTACTCTGCATGGTTCATATTAAAATAAGAATGCATAGGATATCAGGGCAAAAACCTGGATGTTGCTTCACGATTGTTACATAATTCCTTGTTATGTATGAGTTCATGACCTATTGCAGCCTTATAAAAAAACAATCAAAACACTCTATTCTTTCCTTACAGTCTTCCTCAGTTACCCAGAGAAACCCCTACGTGCCCCATAACAGCACTGCCACATTGCAAGACAACCCGATGGCGTCCTCTACTGCTGTGCCTGTAGGATTTCACTATGAAACAAAATACGTAGTTCTCAGCTACCTGGGACTTTTATCACAAGAGAAGCCACAGGAGCATCCTCCTCCTTCAACTCAAGGTAATATTTGCATATTCATCTGTACCTATTTACATCTGCAACCATACTTGCAATTAGTTCTTCAGCTGTTTGTGCCTGGATGCAGAATGTTAGCCTGATGTTTAGTGTAATGCATCTCTTTATTCATTTAAAATGGTGGGAAGAGATACTGATGGAAAGAAAGCTGTTTGTATTTAGATTACTGTTTTAGAGCTATGCCAGGGTCAGTTTATGTTTATGAGGCAAATAAGTGGTTGTAGTAGCTGTCTCGAGGTTAGTAGGGATAATATGTATTATCTTTGTTGAGCCATCTTGATAATTTCAAGCCTATGCTTGCTTTTTTTGGGAGGCAAGTGGAAGTAAGCAGGGGTGAGGTGGTATTTACCAGCATTAACCCTGAGCGATGACTTGAGAAGTCTCGTGTTAAATAGTTTTGCCCTATTATGTTAACACTTATGTTCTTGTCAGTCAGTGGTACTGCAGAGATGTGAGACTTAACCTGGCCTATGCTGCATCTATTTATTTATTTATTTTTGAAAAGTCAAAGACTGCATGGAGTCAGATAGTGAGATGTTTCTTCCAGAACAGGTTTATGAATATAGAAGGTTGAATAAGAAGCAGAATAAAAGAAGTTTGACAGATTGTGTTTCGCATAAACCTAGATAGTAAAACTTACTTTATTTTGTGGTGGCAAGCACTTAAGCAATGTTGTTTGTCAAGATTGTTTTGGTGGCTTGTCAGTTCTTAATGACGTTTCAGTCACTACTAGTTCCTGTGATTCAGAAATTACTCTGATGAAAGGTGTATTAAAAAAAAAAAAAACAGTCTTCAGAATCTTTTTTTTTTTTTTTTGAACAAGCATTTAAGAATGCATACTCTGTCATTTACTTCACTTACCTGTCATGAAGTGAGAAATTCCTGAAAAGAAAAGATAACATTGAAGTTATGACAGAAATTATTTAATCAGTTTGGGTCTAAAGCATATAGCATATGCTGGTTATATTACATATAATTTATAAAATTAGTTTTAGCATATTTAAGATATGTCTGTTACTCCCACTTCGACTGCATCTGTGGTCCATGAAAGGAGAGGCAGCTTAGTGCCAAGGTGCTGTTTTATAAAACCCTTTGTTGGAAAATGTGCTTATTTTAGCAATAACATTCTGAATATCCTATCTGGGATAACTGGGCTATAACTGGAAATGTAGTGAGTACATATAAAGCTACAATGTGGAAGAGTCTGATTTGTTCTGTAAATGCAAGAGTCAGGAAACTGTTAGCGTTAAAGCTCTTATTTTTAATACTTTGACTGTAGTTACCTTTGAAATATTTGCATATTGAGGGAAAACTTTTCAAGTTATTCTTATTACTGAAATAAGATATTTGCATCAAATAAATATTTGAATTAAAGATCAACATTAAAACTTTATAAAGAGGAAGCTACAAATGCTTAAATAAAAATTTTGTAGTCAGTTAAGAGGACTTTTAAGCTCCTGAGTGAAGATAAATGTTGAGCCTACTTTTCAGATATTATTCACATGTTAGCTTGTGTGACAGGCTGTAGTTGGATTTGCTATTAAAATATTCTAAAGCATTGATACTTTCAAAATCTGTTCTTTCATCCTTGTTGCTTTAAACCTTCCCTTCTAAACAGGAATTTCTCCTATATCTCACTCGCCCTCACTCCCCCCCAAAAAGTAGACACTGATCTCAACTTCTCCTCTCCTGGTCATCTTTCACTGTAATTAGATCTCTCTTTTAGTGCTTTTACTGTTTTCTGATCAAAGCCCCTGGATAAAATATTTTCCCCTTACTATTAATCTGCCATCTTGTTTCTCACTCTGTTTTGTAATGCATTGGATGGACTTTAGGCTATTACTGAACTAAGTGCAAAGACTTTATCCTCCTGCTCCAGGATTTATTTCATTCCTTCCTAACTCACTTTTGTTGGTGCTCTTCCTGGTTTCCATGCTTCCAGCAGCTTTCATTTGTCTGACAGTTACTTTTTAAAATCCTTTCTCCTACTTGTCTCCTTGCTTGAAATTGAACAGTCGTTTCAGCTGCACTGCCGGGGTATTTGTGGTAACAGCCCTGTGTTTATTTTGAAGTACTGTATGCATCTTGTTTGAATAATAAGTAGTTTATGTATACAGTCAGTATCTCCTTGTTGTCTGGCATGTGGCTGATGCCTACTTGCAGAGAGCTGTACCAAAACTCTCTTATCTATATGCTTTATAATGTCCCTGAGGGAGATGGTGAGAGAAGCAGCAGCCCATAATGGGTATTACCTGCACTGCCTAATGTGCTGCTGGAAGGTAGCCAGGTATTACAGTAACAAGCGTGGTCTGAGAAACCTGGTTAAAGCAAAACAGATGTGAAAGCCAGTAAGTGAAAATGAGTAGTAGTTGTGTAGAATCCTGTCATGAGGAGGAAACTTCTGGGTTTTGGTAACGAAGACACACAAGGGATAACAACAGTATGACATTACATCATGCTTGTCAGTGTGTTCTTCAAGCACTGTCATCAGCTGTTGATACGATATCTTGACTGATCCCAAGTTCCTTTCATTGATTATTTTTGTGATACTTTAAAATGCTGGTCAGTAGTCTTTTCTATTCTCTATGGCTGAATGCTGTTGATTTATTATTTGAGAGGATTCTGTTACAGAATGCCTGTCACCTAATCTTACTTTGCTTTAATTTGGTTATTGTGCTGACAGACCTTTCACGGGAAACAACTGAAGCAATGATTTTGGCTATTGCCTGTTTCAGTTGCAGAACACTTCTCTATTTTATGTGTTTCGTTCATATGAAGTATTGTCTCTGGTATATGATACTTTCCCTTCATATATTTTTGTAGATCTAAATAAGTCCTTACTCTGTCTGATTTCTGTCTCATAGTACAATATAAGGGGAGTATCCAGAAAGGCTAGTTTTAGTTTGCCCTCGTAATTTAATGTTAACTTCTTCCATCTTCTTCAGTATCGGAGAGTGATGGACTGACTCCTCTAGAGGGCAGTTCAGAGCAGGATCCTAATTACAGTGATACCACCTGGTATCACCCACTGGAGGATCTTCTCTCTTTCCATTGCACTTATTCAGAAAGTGGGGAAATGAGGCACACTGTAGGTGTAGTTAGTATTTCTGTACTTCCCTCGAGTCTCTTTCAACAGCAGTCTTACAGATTTCAGTGAAGTTTCAACACTCCAGTTAAACTAGAGAATGTATAATGGTCAAAAAAAACAACCGAAAAAGCAATCTTTTCCAACAGGAATGATACTATTTTGTCTCTGCTAGAACAGGTAGGAGAAACTGAATGCTTTTGTCCATTTGCCTCCCTTTCCTCCTAAGATCATCTCCCACAAAACTCTGCTTTCATGCATTTTGTATTAGAGAGTTCTTCTGATATATCTCTTTTTGTTCTGAAAACTCAGATAAGAGTAATTCTTTAAGATATTTGTTAGATTTCAAGTTAAAATTTCTCATTTTTTTGCAGACATAATATGCTGTAGACAACTGATGGTTTTCAGAAGGATTTTATTTAGTGAAGAGAAATCTCAGACAAATTACATAGAAAATTATCTTGCTGTATTTCCTTTTGGATCCTTTTGGTTGGTCTTTATTTTGTTGCAAGAAAGATGGATTCAATTCTGGCTTCAAGCAAAGAAGGCCGATCTAAGTCAACAACTGATTACTACTTTGAAATTTTTATTTAGATAGCTTCTCTTCAGTGCAGGAACTGAAGAGAGAACCACGTGCAGTATTCCAGGCTCTTGGAGAAAAGACAAACCAGTCTTTTAACATTACAACTCTATAGTATTCTGTAGTTGATTTCAGTGTGGTATTCTGTAGTGGATCTCAGTGTCTCCAGAAGAAAATCCAGCCAATTTAACTGTGCAATAGTTTGAGAGATTATTCCTACTACAGTTTTGGCAGAATAGTGATTCTGAATAGCACTCACTGCATTTTATTTAAAGCAAAGTCCATTAGCAGTAAATTCTGTTACATTCTGGTAGGTTTTCAGGTAGGTGAATAATACAAATTGCTCAGATAAATCTGCTAAAACACACACGATAAGATATCATCTGTGTAAGTTCATGTGGTTTGAGGCAACAGACAAGTACAATTATTCAAAATGTGTAGAAACTCTCAGTTATCTGTTCATTAGATTGTGAAGAGATGCTTTAGTATTTTTTCAGAACTCTTGTAGTATCTGTAACTACTGGTTCATACAAAGAAAATTAAATACCAAGTATTGGAAAACATTTCTGCATTTTTTCCCCATGAAGTTCATGCTCATTATAGAATTTCCAGTCTGCTGCAGTTGCTAGTGCTACTTACTTTTTAAGTGAGTCAAAGTACTTAGTTTTTGTGATTCATTGTATTTGTATTGTAAATGCTTCTCTGTGTTTCATCAGGGAGTAACTTTTAGTTTGTTTCTGTTTGTTAATCTACTTCTCCATGGTTTGACCTCATCCCATGAACCTGTGGCTATAACAAAGATGCTGAAGGAAAACAGTTTTTCAGTGTTTTCCTTGACAGAATGAGAAATCTTAAATAATCCTTGAACTCACACAGCATCTGGAAGATTTGTAAACAGTGTCACTACTGCATGGTGGCATACTCAAGAGGTGAACAAGGTTTTGGCAGTTTTACAGTTTCCCTGAGGTGCATGCTATTCACAGTACTTTAATCCAATTATTGTACACAATGTTCTTTTGACCATTTATTATCTGCTTTGGAATTACTGTATGAAGTACTGTATGTAGTCAGTGATCAAGGCTTTTTAGTGGTTTCCCACACGCATTTCTTACAACTGAGCAGTGTTGAACTGGGAGAAACTGATTTTACATTTATTTGTTCGCTTGCTTCGGTTAGAAATGAACTTTGTTACATCTCAAGAAATACATGTACAGACAGAGCAGAGATGGTCAGGCTTCATGCGTTGTGAGAGAGCTCAAGGCTCCTTAGTGGCCATCCCAAATCTAACAGTATTACCTCATTTATATGACTTTGACCATCATGGGTAGGGTACCTGTCATTGCAAGATTTTCTGTCACCAGGTGACACTTGGGCTGGCTGTTGCAGAATATCTTGGTTTTCTTTGTACTCCATTCCTGTATCTTCACTCACCCGTCATAGTACTTGCTGTTGGTCTGTAGGAAATGAAGGAGTTTTTGAGGTGGTTTTAGCTTAGATGAATAACTTACTCCTTAGAAACTTTCCTCTGAGGGCAAAACATACCTACTTTGGCTGAAAAGGTACATGCTTGTAGGTCAGATTAATCCAGTTCATGGTAATGAGAGAGCTATTTCCTAAACTGAGTCAAGGAAAGGGAGTTTTTGGAGTGTCTTGGAGAAGTAAGAGGTGGTCCCTCCAGGAATGTGTATTCTCACTTAATTAAGCCTCCTCTCTGCCCATAAAAAAAAATGACTGCTAGTTGGCAAGTTTTGTCTCTTTTTAGTTCTTATTATTTTGGACTTTTTTAGTTTCTTTTAAGCTGAGCCTTCTTTGTTTATACAGAGCTTCTTTTAAACATTTATCAAATCAAGGACTACATGTATGTATGGCAGTCTGTGTTCTGGAGTTTGCTGGGGTAGTGGATATACTTTTAATTAAAGGAAACAGATGAATATGTTTATAAAGAGATTTTGTATATATTTGTCATTTCTCAGTGCTTACAGAAATTTTAGATGCTTACTTATTCTCACTGTTTGAAAAAGTCTGAGATGTTAAACACTAGCATCATGCTGAATGTGAATTTTTAAGTTAATGTTGACTATACAGAAGTTAATACAGAGACCTAGGAGAACTTGAAAACAGAGACGTTGGCAAATGAAAATTACAAGCATAAAAAAAAAAAATCAAAAGCAATATGTGGCATCAGTGGCTTTCTTTTTCATTCACCCTGCATTCACTTGAACTAAAAATGCATAACACCTTTGCAGTCTCTCCTTACAGTTCCTGTTGTCTCTTGTTAGCTGTAGTTTGACACAAACACTGTAGGATCAGATGTGCAGGCTCTCTAGCTCTGGTGATTGACTTCCCATCCCTCCTCCTCCTGGGATCAAACCTGGGAAACGGGTTAGTCTTGTACTGTTACTAAACTTCTGGAATGGCCTTATCAGTGGAGTTCTACTGAAGTATTACATTTATTTAGTAGTCATAACGCTGTCTGATTGTCAGTGATGTGGCACTTGATGGACTTTTAGAATACATTTTCCCCTGCTTTGCAGGTTACCTCCAAATACCTGAAAAACTTAAATCTTAACAAGAACACACTTGTGCAAAAGGGAACATTTATTCCATAAATACAAAGTAGAACGCACTAACTTCTTCACATGAGATGATGCAAGAGAGGTTTGTTGTGTCTTTGGGCTGGGAAGAGGCCTTCCAGAGTCAGTTTACCAAAAGTCTGTGATAGGCAAACCTGTTATTTCAGTATAGGAAAACATTCAATGTTTATGGATCTTACAAGTACCATTTCTGGTGTGACTATTTGCATTATTAAACAATGATAATATGTTTTCATATACTGGAAGCTATTTTTACTGTTTATTCTACCTATTTGCAAACTTACTTGGAAGTTATCTAAAGGAGAAAAAGATACTGCTCGCTTAGGACCTTTGCTGTTGGAATACGCTGTTCTCCAACACTGGGTGCAATTTTTGTTGGTAGTGGTCAACATACAGGAGATGCAGAAAGCTGAAGTCCGTTGATAATTAGGGGAATAAACAGTGCAAAGTCACTGGTCCGGGAGGGGTTGGTTTTTGATGTTTTGGCATAACTGAATAGTCAGGTGCTGTTGGAATCAGCAGCTGCTGCAAAGTTGTGGGTGTTACGAGATGGAAACCATTGACTGCAGGACTGATTATCTAAACAGCTCTTTTGTACGCTGGCAGCAATGGAATTTCTCTTCCTTCCATTTTCCGGGTGACTTATTATCAAATATGACAGCTTGTCATGTGTGATCATCATCACATTAGTCCTGTGAGAACGGGTGCTCTTCTGAATACCCTCATCCCTTCCTTACACAGGGTGAAGCACAGGTTAAAATAAGAGTTTGTACTTGCATATACTTGTTGCGCTTGACTGTAAAATAATGGTTCGGTCATTCAAAGAGGCAACCTTAAAGGGACTGACAAGGCATTAGTGAGTGTCTGTTCATTAACCAGAAGGAGGAACAGTTTGGTTCTCTCTGGAATTTATTGTTCAGAGTGGCAAAGAGACTATTTGAGAAGGGATTTAAGAAGCTAAATAAAATTATTCTGAACATAGTGATGATGATCTAACTGTGTGGTTAAGTAAAATGGAATTAAACTGATTTATCTGTTGTTCCTTTAAACTGCTCACATAAATAAATGTAAACATTTTACACTGACTTGTACATTGGTTTATAAAGATTTTGTCTCACAGGTATCTATTGAGCGCTGAGTTTTTAAGCATTAGTATACATTCAGTGGGTTGATTCTATGAATTTTTGACTTTGCAAATCCAGGAGACTTTGCAAGCTTATTGTGTAGTGTTTTTATAAATACAGAAAATGCACATTGTACTTTACTACACATCTGCGTGTGTTAACTAGTGTCATTGCTTTTATGGCTTTCACACACTCTGATAGGAAAAGTGATGATACTATGTGTCCATTGTGGAGGAAAGGGGGAAGGCAATACAACACTTAATAGAGATGAACTGATGAAAATAGACAGTCACTCCTAAGACCACCAAATTATGGTCTAGTATCTTCAAAACATGAATGAAGAAAGAGATGCCAGAAAACTACACTGAGTGTTGCGGACTTACCTGAAAATTTGGATATGAAATACAAGTGATGAGGAAGAAATGAAGTCAGATGATACCAACATTACAGATATAAATCCTTTCCCTTTGTATTTACTTAAACTGAGTGAAGAATGACTGCAGAGTGGAACGATGTCTAGATGCCCAGGCAGAGCTGTGGGCAGTTGGTGTAGGTGCAGGAAGGGTGAGATAGGTTGGAGAATCATCGGTATTTGGATGCATGAGTAAGAAACAGTGGAGGTGGACAACATTATCAGGTCAGCCAGGAGGTAGTGTTTAAATCATGGGCATGAGGGATCATGAAGTCCCAAAAAAGAATTCTAAGGAATATTCAGAAGTAAGAGAGCTAAGAAAATGTGTTTTGGGTAACCCAGTCACTGATACTGTTGAAAGCAGCAGAGTGCAAGACTAATGGAGACTGAGAATTGACCCAAATTTTAGGGAAGAAAATGGCTAGAAGAGGGATTACTTAGCAAAGGGAAGTTTTGTGGTCAGTTTTATTTGTTTGTTTATTTATTTCAGGAGTAAGCTGATACAAAATTAACTTTTATAATTGTATGTATATAACATATCTCTTTTATCTCTAAATAGGACATTTTAAGGAATGAGAGAAAGGAAGAAGAAAATTTCAGTGGTAGGCTGTTGATTCAGTGATATTTGGTGAAAATAAGACAACAGTTAATGAAACAGTTTTTGTAGTGTGCTTTAAGAATGGGATTTGAAGACATGCTTGAAAGCTGATGGAAGAAGTAAAGATGAGCAAACCCAAGAAAAAGCAGCAAAATAGCAAGAGGTTTGAGCTGGAACTCTGTCCCAGATATCTAGTTTTTCCATTAGTACCCATCCCATACTGCCTATTGGTAGCGGTCATAGTGTTGGAAAAGTTGACATTCAGCAGACGGTTCCTTAGAGATTCATGTGTTTTAAATACCTTGGCTTGTTTGGAAACAGTTTTCTGTCTGATTTGCTACAGCATAATAATAAAGATGGTTGAGTGTCAATATAATCCTGAATGATACGGCTGAAACAACTTCTTGTTACCAAATATCTAGAGTCCACACAGAGTATGTATTCGTGATCCCAAACCATGGCATGTGTACTTCTGGGGATATGCAGCCATTTCAAATTCCTAAATAACTTGTTTAGGAGATGAGAATTGACAACTGAGCGACAACTGTGTCTGGCAACTGACTCTATTGTTACTTGTGAACCCGGTCTTAAATTATTTCACTGTGGCCTGTAGACTCCTCGTGAACAGCAAAATGATGCACAGTTAACAGATCTTGGGACTCTTCATTGATGTCATTACATAGTTGCTCTGAGTATTTTTGTAGATTTTACAGGTATCAATATAAAGTTTATATTTTTCTACTAAAAATCAAGCTTATGCCTATATCTGCTTTGTTTCGGTGTAATGAGTGTGTTAGCTTTAATGACTTTGTGTCTTGATTTGATTTTGGCCTTAAGATAAGTTTGGTTTTAAAGCAGTTATACATTCTGTTTGTGGCTTTACAGTTCTAATACTTTAAATATAGTCACATTTAAAGCACCTATTCTGTCTTGAATAGGCCTGGAAATTAATGTGTTTCTGGGTTCATAGAATAAAATTTTTGTAATAAGTACCCTTAAGGGATCATACTTTTTATGTTGCCATCTGGAATAGAACTTTGACCTTGAATTCCTTTATAGTTAATATTTCAATATCATGTTCCATTATCTACCTTATTTGAAATACTACATTTGGATAATTTCTCTATTTTCTTTTAGGGACTCAACAACAGTTTATGATACAACATGCTTCAGAGAAAGAGGCTTTGGAGAAGATCAAAATAGAAATCGAGGAGGAGCTAAAACGTCTTGATGAAGAAATCTTGGAAGGTGCTCTTCAGATTTTCCCATTTCAGTCGATAATTTCTATGCTCTATAATTGTGGTTATTTTGTAACAGGTGCTCTAGTTAAAGAGATTTTTGGGTGCATCGATCTCTTTACCCTCCTCACTCCACAAGATTTCTACACATTGTCACATGATGTAAAATAGTTAAACATTACCGTTTGGAGTGGTGGAGTCTAGCCAAAGCAAACATTTGAATGACATTTAGTAGGCTACTATAAATAGTGAAATGTAAGCAGCCTTTAAGCTGATCCATGACTGATGACAGAAATGAAATAATTTCTCAGCAGCTAACATTCAGAGGAGTGTGGATCTAAACCATCAGGTTTCTCACTTCACCAGGTTTATTTTTTGTGATGTGCTTTGACCTGTAGATGTGGCTTTTATAGGACTCCCAGCAAGGGATGATTTGGAAACAGTCTTTGCTTTGCATGTGTGTTGCAAATTGGAGATCTGAAATAGAAGGGCTCTAGATCTGTTTACATTCATCCATATATAGACCTTTCTTAGAAGTTTTAAACTGAGAAAGAAAAGGTTATATGAACAAAATATTATTTTAAAAAATTATACACTAGTACAGCTGCAGATATGTCTGTGTGTGGGCAAATTTTACTGTGGAAAAGAGGCTCTCTTGCTGCTCCATCAGGGTTGGCATCAGCTTAAAACTGAGAATAGCTGCACATTCATCTAACCTGCTGGTTAGGATGCAGTTGTGAAATAAGAGCTGGAGGGGAAATGTAGCTCATCTATGGCCTGTAAGTACCACTTCCAGAATATATTTGGACCACACTTGTTTTACTACAATTTGCTTATAGCATCCTTTAACTATAGAGTTGTGATTTCTTTGTCCCTCATGTAAACTGTATTAACTGGTGGGATTAGAAAACTGAGACTGCTGATGTTCTTGTATGAATCTATTTTATTATTTTATTTTGTATACTTTTTTCTCTCAGCATTTACCACTACAGGATTTGACTGCCACACTTCTCCAGTGTTCAGTCCTGCCACTCCAGAGAGCTCAATAGAAGACTGCCTGGCTCATTTAGGGGAGAAAGTATCCCAGGAATTAAAAGAACATCTGCACAAAGCACTGCAGAGTTTGCTTAGCAAGTGAGTTTCCATTTGCTTTTTCAAGGGGAAGGTGTTTCCTTTTGCATTTTGACTGCTGCTGAATTGCTAAAGATGGGGCTACATTTTGTATATCGTTTCTTTATTTTTCAGTGTTCTTTATCTGGCTGTTTTTTTGTTTTGTGTTGTAATGTGTGAATAATTCTTTGTGGTATTTGCTCTTTGCAGTAATGTAAGTTCTAAATTTTTTCTCAGTTTTTATTATTGAACTTCTGAGACTAGCTCAAGTAGTTTGAGTAGTTGCTGGTGGAACCAGCAACTGGCAGCTGCCAATTGCCATTGCTAATTTCACAAATGCTGGACTGTAGCCAGATTGACTTCTTTTATCTTACAGTTAAGAGTGGAACTGAAGGTTTGTTTGTAATCTGTCTCAAGATGAGTGGGAGAGTTTCCCTGAAAGGGTGGTAGTTCGATGCTTTATGACCACCATTCAGGTATACATCTGAAGCAAATGTGGGCTCCTGGGCTAACCGTGGTGCCTTAAGAGCCACCGTGCCAGTTTAAGCTTACTGTTTAAATAGCACATCGTACTTGGCATGCTAGTATCTTGATTAATGTTTTTTGAATTTGAGTAAAATTATTGTGGTTGCTTGTTTTTCTAGTATAAATTACCAGCCTGATTTTAAATGATCCACATTAAATACTTCTGGTTGTTCTGAGTGACCTCCAAAATGTATTTCTAGAAAGCCAGAGTTGGAAGGTGCTACTTTAGGGACAGTTACATAAATGCAGTTGTGAAGGCAGCTATCTGAGTCTATTTTCTGTGGATTTATTTAAATAATATGTCTCAAAAGAACCAGGGAATCTCTACTACTACCCTTTCAGAGTTTGTGTAGCTGTTCATGAACTGTTTGAACAACAAGGTACTGGAAGCCCAGATATCAGTGCCTAGTATAAAGTTTCTGATACATGAGGCTTAAGTCTTCCATACAGGTATTGGAGAGACATCTCATGCCCTCATGAAGGTTATACCCCTTATGGCAGCCTTCTGAAAGATTATGAATGTGGAAGTCATTCCATCTGAACATCAGAAAACACCTTTTTACTGTGAGGGTGACTGAGCACTGGCACAGGGTTGCCCAGAGGGGTTGTGGAGCCTCTATCCTTGGAGATACTCAAAAGCCGTCTGCACGTGGTCCTGGCCAGCCTGCTGTAGGAGACCCAGCAGGGAGGTTGGACAGGATGTTCTCCAGCAGTGCCTTCCAAACTCAACCATTCTGTGATTCCCTAACTAGCCTATCTGTTCCTTAACTAGCTCCCTAGTCAACAACTAAAGGTTGACTTTTTATGACCGATATAATTTAAATCTGACTGTTTAAAGTCAGGTAGAATGAGGCTTTGGGCAACCTGATGTAGTGAAAGATGTCCCTGCCCATGATCTTTAAAGGTCACCAAACCATCCTATGACTCTGACCTGGATTTCACAGTAAAGGTGCCATGTAACATCTGACCAGACAGATGAAGATGCTTGTCTCTTTTTCTATGAGTCATCCAAGGAAAAAGTATACTTTTGTCAACTCACCATTCAACTTTCAGAAGCTAATATATATACTTTCTACTTCTGTATGTAGTTTCTATAGAGTCAAAAAGTAAGTTCAGTATTGTGTAAACTGACAATTATTTACCCACAGAAAAGAGTATGTGGAGTACAAACATCTCCTTAAGTGGCAAACGATAGGCTAGTGTGTTCCTCCAGAAATGGCAGAAGTTTATCTGCCTTTACAAGCCAGACATTTGTCCCATGTGGCCTTAAAAACTTGTACTTAGTATCTTCTGAAGAGCTGAAATTTTGATAAATACCTTACTACACACTAAAAAAACAGACTGTCAATAAGATGGAAAATTAGCAGTAAGCCTTGCAACCTGTCCTTTTTGTGTGTCTAGAACTGTAAACTGAAGTAAAAACATTTTAAGTTTAAATGTCTTAAAGGTTGTAGATAATTGGCTGACCTTAAAGGGTCATAACTGGTGCACTCTAGGTTGATTCATTTTGGAAAGTTCCTGAGACGAGGTCTTTGAAAATTCAGTGGTTCTAGCTTGTTAGCAGCGTGATGTTCTAGGCTTCTTGTATATTCTATGGGAAAATACTTGTGTTCTATATATTTTTTTAATATATGTACGTACGTACATACATTGTACATATAAAGCCTGAAATGCCTTTGAAAATGTGTTGACATGCATGCCTTTTTATGAGGCAAACTAGAGCTATTATTTAATCTCTTGATCCTTCCTGCAGCTGTTGTTGCTTTTCTCATCCCACTGATCCATCTGGATTTGTGTTTTAAAGGAACTAATGTACCAAGGAAGTTAAGAGAATGTACTTAAAATGACAGACCCAAATTATTATATTTTCCCCAGTGTGCTTTAGCTCTGTTCTTTTACCCATGTTTGCTACAGTAGTGCTATTTGATGCAATACTTACTTTGCTTATGTTTTCCTGTCCTCTTATCTGCATATAAACAAGTATATTATGGTACACTAGGCTATTAGATCATGACGGGTTCTTGGAGTACAATAAGCAGTCTTCTGTCCAATACCAGTTACCGCTATTTCCCTTAAAGTCTGAACTTGACTTTTGTCATGATCTGGCTCAGGACCACTGCTTTTGAAACAGTGTATCTTCTGCTGTCACTTCACAGAAAATCTTTATTGTTACTGACTCTAAGATACTATATGATCTTGGAGGAAAGAGTATGGAAGAAGGAATTTCATCATCCCAGTTCAGAGAAATAAAGGTGTGATAAATCTATAATAAAGGTATTTACGGAAATACAAAGGGTTTTTTATGCTCAAAAATGCTGCTTCTATCAAGTGAAGGCTTCAACTCTTAACACAACATTAGTGTGGTCAAGCAGTCTGTTGGTTCGTAACCTGTATTGTTTATAAAAATTCTACTCTGCATTGCCCTCTATCTCACATATGAATTCTTTAGTGGAGTTTTTTATCCTTAAAGTCTTAGATTATAAAAAATTATATGCAAGACCTTAGACATTTTGGTAGCATATTGGAGAACCTACTTATCTAATGTTATTTAATTTGTAGAGTGTCAAATTATTATGAAACTCACTTGACCAATTACATGAAGTTTTGTAACTGTGAGAAGGTGATGCCTTCTTGACCCTGTCTGGTGCTGGTGTTTTACGTCCTGAAACGCAAGACTTGTTAGCTCTTGAAAATTATTTGCTTTAATACACGTGAAAATATTTAGTTCTCTGGAGACTGAGAATTTTATTTTATTCTTGTTCTTTTGTTTCCTTTTATAACTTTCAGTGTTGGTTTAACTTCTGCAGGCCGGTGACATATCAAGAATATCGAGAGCGCACACAAGAGACAGCTGCTCATGCCAGTGGATGGAACAAGGTACCAAATAAGTCACTTTCACGTTGGTACCTTTCGCATCTATTTGATGTCCATAGTGCTTTTACTAGGTACAATTATGCTTCACAGAGGGCAAAGAAGAACCCACTTGTTTTTAGTGTGAAATAACTTTCACTCTCAAAATGGTAGATATGGACAGAAGTTACTGAATGGAAGTATTAGGTCAATCTTCCTTTATTATACTAAAATGAAAAGTTAGAGTTGTTGCTTGACATAATTCTTTTAAAATAACGATTAAACATTTTTGAATTCTGAAGAGAGGTTTATTTCTTTAGCAGTTTTGTAATTAAATTGGAGACAGATGTTTTCATATTTCTCTACTGTTTCTTTCCTCCCATCTCAGGTTCAAAATACATATAAAAAAAAGTGCTGATCATGGTGAAAATAAAAATTTATAGTATCTTCACAATATGTAAATTATTCAGAAAGCATAAGGATGGTGCGCCTACCTGGTTTCAGTAGTTATCTCAAATGATGTGAAGCTTCTTTTTAAAACAAAATGCAAATCTGTAAATGAACTGAAGCTTCTTTTTAAAACACAATGCAAATCTGTAAGTGAACTACAATAGTTTTAATGGAGAATAAGTAGAATTACTGTTCCCAGATTCATCTTTCATTAATAATTCAACTTCATCGTCTTAATCATTCTGATGGGTTCAGTGGGCATCAGGAAAATGATAAAAGAATGAAATAGCAATTTGCAAATATAACCACAAATTGAGTGTTAAAATTTAGTCTTAAATTTAAAATAGAGCAAGAAGTCTTTGTTCCCCCTTTAATTTTTTTTTCCAGAAATGCTTTTCCTTAGCTAGATTTCCCTGCTTACTTCAGAAATTGCTCATCTAACCAAGAGTGTGGGCACTTTTAAAGCAGTTTATTAAACATGGTTTGACAAGTTACTGCGCATGTCTGAAGCAATGATAATTGGTGTGTGTGTGCTTTCAGTTTATCATCTTGGGATTCATAGCATTTTAGTTTAAACAGCCATGAAATCTGATTATCGAGAAGGTGGCTTAAGCTAGCTCATTTTACTTTTCAGTTGGTGAAAACCAAAGACAATCATAAAACCAGTCATTGTGGCTCAGCTGGCAAGGGAGGAGGTGGATGGAGCTTACCCGTTGCCTACTGGGTCTCCATGTGCTATTGGTACACACCTCTTGAAGATACAGCCCTGGGTGGTTGGATCAGCCGCATTTGAGGGGTTGTGATTCAGCCTTCATTGCTGCTGCATTTGTCCACTAGCACCTATAACTAGTGGGTTTTGGTCCCCGACAGCTTGTGATTGAGAGTATCATCCAGGAGATTCCTTTGTCATCATCTTTGCTTACCCGTAACATTCGTTGCTACAAAACTTACAGTCCACAAGCAAACCAGAATGGAAATTTTGTAGACTAATACAGCATCTGTTTGTGTTGTTTTTGTGGTAGCTTGATGCCTCAGGAATGCCTGGCAGTTCCTTTAATAATACTTGTTTTGAGGAGATGGAATACATTTGTGTTGGTTTAATTTCCTGTTAAATTCCTTTATCATGTTAATCACAGTCATATTTTATAACAGAAGAGATCTAGATAGCTTTCCTCCAACCTCAACCTAGCTTAGTTTTCACTCTAAAGAAGAAGCTGTTAGAAAAATAATTTTTAAAAGTAGCTACAAATAGACATAGTGTTAGGTCTAATTAGCAGGCACACAGCAGCAAAATGAGGCTGTGCTGGCCTCAAGTTTGTGAAAAAATGAAGGGTGTGAATTTAAATTGACTCTGTCGGGAGAATTGAAGTTCGCTCCCTTTTATAACTAAATAATAAGAAAACATACAACTAACTGAGCTAGCTGAATGGAATAATAAATCACTCCCTGTTACATGCTCTTGGACGTTACGTATCTTATAGTTTCTTGGGTGGAGCAGAAATTGAAGTTGCACAGTAGCTGTGGTAGATGTCAAAGGGTTAAACATGTGGGAATACCTTCCCAGAGGCAGAATTCTGATCTGTGCTTCTGGTTTGATTCAGACTAGAAGAAATAAAACAACTGAAGCTAGTAGATGAAATGTATTTTCAGTTACATGTAAGCTGTATCTCTTCTGCTCAGTAGTGGCATCTTGCACAGCAAGGTGCTCTTTTTGCTTTCAGTAGTCTATGAACTGGTACGTAAAATCTCACTTTAAATTTCTGAGCCTTTGCTGTTGTAGGTATGTATTACTATGCATATGTATGTATAAAAGCCCCACCTGTTTAATATATTGAATGTGATGCACTTGGAGAGCCACACTGATCCCTTAAAGGCCCAATATTTCTGTGGCACAAAGCAGACTCAGTGTAGTCTTTGCAAATCTTCCTTGATGATATGTGTATGAGGACCATGGCATAAAGGTAAGCGTATACTTCTGGGAGGTACTGGATTACCTAGCTGGCTAGCTGTTTGGAGGCTGAATGTGAACAAATGCTTGATCTGTTTGGTTTACAATTGGGAAGGTGTCATTTTTAGTCATAACAGTTTTCAAAGAACCTATTCATTACACAGGCATGAGCAGAAAGGAGACACTTCTAAATATAGCTGTTATTTTTTCCATTTAAAAATGTGGATCTTTTTCAGGGTGCAATGGCATATTTGAACTGCTGAAGACAGTTGGTTAACTGACTAGCACATGGGTTGTAAAAGGATGTTTTCAGTCACTAAAACATGAATATTGATCTGAATGAGGAAATGTCAGAGGGTGAACTAATACATAGGAACATCAGTTCTTCCAGTAACATCTCACAGAAGCAGAGTTTACCCACAGACATTAGAAGTGCTGGTTCTCAGTAAAAAAAAAATCAGGAAAATAAATTATTTCATGTATTTCTCAGAAATTGTGGTGTAAAAATAATAGGCTTGATGTTGTATTCTGTAAAGAAAAGCAGTCTTCACCTTGCATTTGAAATAAGGCTCTCATTAAAACAAAACAAAACCAAAACCACCTCAAACCTAGGGCAATTTGTATTTCTGTAATAAAATAAATGTAATAAAAAATTGAAATACTCCACTGTTGAGTTTTATGCTTTTTGCTTAAAATTTAATATTATATACATAGTTCAAAAATACATAATCCCACTATCGTGCACAAGATAAAAGGGTTACAAGTACTGATATTGAGAATCAGCTGAACTAGTAAGCAGGTTAGCAGTCATCTTAATGTCCAGTTTTTACTGATTAATGGAGCCAAAGAATAATACAACAAAAATGTAAGAAATAGCATGTAAAAAAGTAGATTAACTTTATGTTGAAATAGTAAAAAAGGTACACAGAAGTGGCAATTTGTTTGGATATAGCTTCTTCAAAGTCTCTGAACTTTCTTTGTAATAATTCTTTTTCTGCATACATTTAAATTTGTAATATTGTACAGTGGGATTGCAATAATATAATTGACAGAAATCTTTCATTTACACATAATCAGAAATCTTCTGATAGTAAAGGTTTTTTTTTTTTAATGATTCTCGAGACATTTTCTCCTGCCAACTATTTTTTGGCGTGCTGTGCTTGATACCGTGTATGTTTTTCTTCAGTCAAAATATAAATAGCCCTTAGCATTCCTTCTCAGGCATACTGGTGGAGGGAATTGGAGTTGCTTTGAATTGCTAAGGCTGTACTTTTACTTTGGTCTAGTTAAATCTCATCACCATTCACATAGCTACTCTTACGTACAGAAAGCTGTTGTTAACCTTTATGGAAGTACTGTAAAGGTAATTTTTTTCATGGATTTAGGGACAGTATGGTGCAAACCTATTCCTACTGGTCTCAAAGGTAGAGATGTGTCAGTAATTCGGTGGGAAATCACAGGGTGTTTGTTAGTATGCATGGGACTGGATATTAGAGTTTGAATTTGGTTCTTCGCTCCTGAGGCCTGCAGAGGTTTGCCAAATTTGGGAGGAGTGGATGGATTAGATATTTAAGTTGGCAAAGGAAGATGGCAACAGGCATGTTCAGTATGCCAACATTTGAGCTCCCTTCATTTCCTAAGCAGCATTTGTTTGCCTTTGTTTCTCTTGCTTTCAGTTTACATTAAATGTCAAATATTTTGAGATCTCAGTGTTCATGCTATTGTAGAGTTATGTGGTGTGTGTTATGTGAGTTATGTGGGTGTGCCCAAAACCTTTGAAAGATGCCTAGTCCTGACAGCACGCTTTTTTTCCTTTGATCCAAAAAGATTCTTCTGACACTTAACCTTGACCTACTCCTTACATTTGTGCCCTGTAAGCTTGCACCTCTTCTGCCTCTGAGTTGAGATTAATTACAAGAAACTCAAAAAATCCCAGGGCTTTTAAAATTCAAGCACCATCTAATTCCTAGTTAAGTGACTGCAGTGTTTATATGTTCATCCCAAAAGAACAGTACTATAACCTGTCTGCCATAGTATTGGACTCTCTCAGTTGTTAATCAGTGGGAACATCTTAAATTTATCAGCTTACATGCATTTTTAAGGCCCCATCTGTTTTTAGTGTTCTATCTCAGTGTGACTCCACCATGGATCTAGTACAAATCTCAGACCCAGCCTACTTTTCAGATTCGTCTTCCTCCAGCTTTGCATCCTAAGGTGTCATTTCTGAGAACAGTAATGGAGAGTATTTACAGAAAAGAGAATCAGGCTGAAGGGGGAGGAGGACTGGGAAAGGAAGGAGATATTTGGAGTTCAGTCTGAGCAGTAGTATTAGCCTGCATCTACCTTGTGCAGCTGGGAAACAAGGTTCTTATTTGGACAGTGAATAGATGTGCAATGCAGTTGTCACAAACTAGGTGCAGTAAAATTTACAAATATTTTTCTCTTGTATCATAATAGTGCTTTTTCAGATGCTAATGACTTCAATTCATACCAGTTGCCTGAACTTGGCAAAGTGCTGCATATAAACTTTGCCCAGAGGGCCAGTTGTGTGCTCTAGGAAAATAAATACAGCATTTAAAAGTTCAACTGCATGTTGTTTAGGCAAACAAAAGCATAATGTCAGCAGGAAGTATCTAGAGCTGTATAATATGAAGGAGGTAGGCTCACAGAGTCTTGCATCTTCCAAAGCAATTCATGTTTGGGTTAAGGCTCAGCATTCAGTTAAAGCCAAAAGTGTGGAAGGAAGAATAAGAGTAGAAAATGAAGGAGGGAATTCTTAATGTGTTAAATGTGGCATGGGAGGGATAGTTTAACATGGAGAGGGGGTTGTGTTTGACATTTTAAACATGTCTGTAATGTTACGCTGCTGGGAGGAGTTGTTTCTGTCCTGTCTGAAAGACAAGTGTGAACTTCTAAACAGACTGTCTAGTGCAGTGTATCTATCCAAAACTGTATATGAGTTTGCTGTTTAAATACAATTTGGACACATATCCCTTCAAAGTATTTATGGTGTTGCATCTTTCCACTTCTGGGGTAGCAAGTTCTCAGCCTGTTCTGCTTCTTTACCTGAATCTTGTGTTGGAAAAAAAATGGGCCTTAAGAAAGCACTGCAGTCCTGTTCTGTGAAACCCTCGGTTAGGCTGTGGTGTTTTGCTTACCAGATTAAGTGTGTCTTTCTTACTGAATTGTGTTGTGTTTCTGCCTTGTGTCTTCACAAAAATGAAGCGTATAGTGCATAATATCTTTGGACTTGTAGATTCAGACCTTTTCTGTGGATCCTATGAATGCTTCTGTTTTACCTACACAGTAGTATCGATAATGCTTTCTGTATTTAGTCATAATTCTTTCTTTTTTTGAAGGTCTTGGTACCTCTGGTTCTGCTACAACAATTTCTGATGGAGCTAACCAAACGGGGCCAGGAGCCACTGAGCGCACTTGTGAACTTCGGGGTGACATATCTAGAAGACTATTCTGCAGACTATATCATCCAACAAGGAGGATGGGTAAGAAGACAATGTTTAATTTTCATAGTTTGTTCAGAGCTTATTTCTAAATGTGATACTAGTCTTAATAGGAGTGAAAGACTAAGAGGGGTTGCTAGAAGTAAGCAGACGAGAGGAGGAATGCCCCAGGAAAAGCCGAAAAAAAGCAGAAAGTCAGGACCGTATAGTTGGAAAGGATCTTGGGCGCTCATCTATTTCATCTCTCTGTCCCAAGGCAGAACTGACTTTTACCCATTAATTTCTGATGTTGACCTTAAAGACCTACGTTGTTGGGCTCTACAATTTCCCCAGGCAGTCTCTTCCAGTTCTTTGCGTGTCTGGTTTGTTGGATTGCTGTTGAAATTGAAGAGGTCCTCGGATGTCAAATAACAACTAGTGTTCATACATTGTGTGTTAAGATGCTAATTTGTTGCTAGATGGTGAGCTTTTGTTTGTATGTTCTTTCCTGTTAATATACATACAGAATTGCATTTAGAAGCAAACATCTGTAACAAGAGATACTGTGCCTGAGAGGCTCATCTTTTTAATGTTATCTTCAATACTCTGATGACTGCTGGAAATGGTGTTTTTTCATCTTAATTTTCAGAGGGTTTTTTTAGCAAATAAGTAATTGGGGAGTGCTTCATACAGAAAGGTCAGTATGTACTAATTTATTTTTATAATAAGTGATAAAATAGCTAATGCATATTGGATTTTATAGCTATACAGGAACATGGATAGAATGAGCAATCAGGATTTCTTTGTGCTGTATTTCCTTGTGGAAATCTTCAATTCATGATAACCAGTGTTCATGAGTCATGGCACACTGAGAAAGTTTAATTTAAAAATACATCACAGAAGCAGCTCGCAGCCGATGAGCTGGATCTTGAAAGCTGAGCTTTAGATTACTAGGTTAGGGAAGAATGCCAGATCTGAATGGGATTAATCTGAGATTAGTGAAATGGCAGCATCAAGTTGATTTATTCTAAAAAGAAAAGCTGTTCAGGAAAACCCAGTAATTAAAAAGTGCTAGTAGGAAAAATCTCATTCAGACAGCTTCTCATATTTCAGGAGTTTACCTGAAGTTTTTTTTAAGAGTAGTTTGTTCCAGAATTTCTGCACATCTGCACCTTCCTATATCTTTTCCCTTCCTGGCAACCGTTGATAATAGTTTTCAAAGCCTTTGGGAGGGTTTGTTTGTCTTTAATTGACAGAAACACTAACAGCATGCAGCCAAATGACCTTAGGTCATTTGATAAATGTACTCACATTTCAAAGTATTTTCAGAGAAGGTCCTTACTTGCAACTTTAAGACAGATGGATGTTAGTGCTATTTTGCTTTTTTCTGCTTTTTCTTTTTTTTTTTTTTTTTTACCCTCAGAAAAGGCTCTGATCTCTTCTCTGGCACCTATTTGAGGCCTGCTATAAACATACTTAATACAGTGCAAAGCCTCTGAAAACAAGCAGCTTTCCAGCACGGCCACCAAGGGAGGGGGGCTGTGCTTTGTGTTTTTGTGACTGTGCATGTATGTACAGATCTGGGTAGCTGGTGTTTAATGGGCTACGAGCTTGTCTGTATACATCCAGTCAGGCATAAAATCAGACTGACATAAGCGGTACAGCAAACAAGCCAGAGCTATTTTTGAAACAGCAGAAGAGGCGAGGAAAGAGGCAAGGTGATGAAAATCCTTTCCAGCCAAATTAACGTAGCTGTGCTAACACTTTGTGAGTTGCTTTGGGGATGGGAATGGGGACCCACTGCGCTTGTGGCTTTATGTGAAGGAAAGGAATATATGGGTTTATTGTTTGTTTGTTTGTTTGTTTTTTTCCTGTAAGGAAAATGTTCATTTTTACTGACTGTCATGCTGCTTGGTTTGTTCTGAGTCTGTGGGATGTTGTTCTGGGGATGGCAGTGCTGGGAATGGGGCGTGGGGTAAAGGTGGGAAAGTTTGTGTTTCTGAGAAGGACTGGGGAAGAGCCACCTGGCAGGCTGTTAGCCATCACGAAAGTGTTTTGCATTTTTTAAGATAAGCATCTGCCACAGGGGCTCTGTGTGCCAGATCAAGTTGTCAGTAATACTTTGCTAGAGCCATAAGGGCAATGTATAAACCTGGAAGTCTCCAGTGAATTGTGTTGCTGTAACAGTAAGAGGTTCCATCTTTGTATTATTGCTGTCTTTCCTACAGCTGCTGAGAGCTTGCTTAAAACTGAGGAGAAACCAGAACAGCCTGTCTGGTTTTCTGTGCATCAGGAGCAGAGGAGAGGTTCACAGGAGTCAGCTTTTCATGTGCAGACCTGAAAAATTCTGTAGTGTCTCTGGTGCTGTGTCTTCCCTTGGCACCATGTAATTTGGAATCTTCCTCAGTTTTAGGATTGAAGTCAACCTTTGCCAGTAGGGAAGTACCCAGTCGAAGGTAAGGGGTCAGCTGAGCCCTCTCTATACCCCACTGTGGATCTGTGGAGTCAGAATTTTAGAGAGCTGTGTCATCCAGTGGGACCACTTGCTGCGTCATGCTCTGCAGCTGCGATGTGGCTGGAAGAGCTCCTGAGGTTCTGCATGTGTGCAGGACTTCACGTTGTTTTGTGGACTCGGAAGGCTTGTATGTCCAGCAAAGCATCTGACTGAGGATGGTGGACAACAGTTAACTAGAAGTGAAATTGCTAGCTTAGAGGAATAAAGGTTGATAAATTGGATACCTATGCAGTAGATTTCAAGAAATCAGTGTGGCTTGTGAGGAGTGGGAAATTTGAGATACTAGAGGTAGAGCCTCTGAGATGAGAAGTTGCTTTTTGATTTTTTTATTCCAGTCCTGCAGAGATATGGTGATGAGATAATGTGTTGAAACAATGAGTGTTCCCCTCCCATTCTTCCTTCAGGCACTAAAATTGTATTCAGCTAACTTTTCATGGTAGGGTGGGACTGGGATGTAATGGTTGGTTGGTTGGTGAGAGAATGGCTGGCATAATTTTACGTTCAAGTGCATACAATATTTTGATACTATGATTCTGGCTGTTGTGTAAGCTGATCCCTTTCCCCTTGGTCTGTTTTACTGCTTTAGGGTGAAAGTCTTTCAAGCAGGAATGTCTGCAGTGCACTGCGTACTGTGTTTGGATGCAGCTGGCAACATAAATGTGAATTAAGACATAAAATGATTACTCCATCTAGTTTACAATCTCTTAGATTTGCAGGTAGATGCAATATGAGTTTGGGTAACTGTAGGAAAGCAAGGTAATCTTGCTTTCTTCTGGATAGCCTCCCTCTTTCCCTCATTGCAGTGACACGTTCAGCTGCAGCTCTTTAAGTTTTAGTATGATCTTTCTTTTGGAGCAAAAAGCATGTTTGGCATTCCAGCTTCTCTAAATAGACACATGTGGGAACACACATTTCTTTCTCCTGACTCTCTGTTTTGAACTCAAATGGTCACACTAAGATGTTGTTTCCTTATCTTGAACCATCACAAACGAATTCCCAGCCTGATTTTAGCAGCAGCTTTGTTCTTCTCTTTCCCAAAAGCTCAACAAACTGATATGCAGTGTACATGCTCTGCCCTCCCCCTTTCCTCCTCTGCCCTCCCTTCTCCTTCTCTCCCCTCCCTTCCCTCCTCCTACTTCCCCTCCCTTTTTGCTCTGTCTGACTTCTCCACGGCTGAACGGTGCTGCATCAGAATCAATTCTTGGTCTCCTGGAAAAGTGCACAGTAAGGCCAGTCAGTTGGTAAGGATTTTTTTTCCTCTTCCTTTCCTATCCTTCCTCCCAAATAATTTATTTCTTCTTGAGCTCCACGGATCTTGTTTTCCATGGTTAGATTTCATCTATGTTGAAATAGTCTGGGAACATCTATAAGGAGGAAAAAGTATAAGATTATTTGGAGGCTAGCTGCTTTTTTTTTTTTTCTCAGATTCACAGTGCATGCAATCGGTGTTTATTGGTATTCAGTTAATAACCTTTCTTCTCTCAGTAAGAGGCTGGTATTTGTATTTGTGACCTGTAGCTGAAATTGTCTCTGCCTTCCCAGGGTTCTTGTCTCATGATGTTCAGATCTGGATTTGAATTTAACTAGTTACTTGCCCATGCTGGAGAGAGTAAAAGTAAATTTGCTTGGAATCAGCGTTGTGTTTACAGTTTCATATCTCAGCCTTAGAAAAGCTGTTGTCTGTTGTCAGTGTTTCATCTTGGTCTTTTCTGCCGTTTTTGATGTTTTATTTGCTGCTGGTGATGGAATAATCTATGTACTAGAGTCTGTTAACAATCTGGAGGAGAAAAAGAGTAAAGAGACACTTGTCATCCTAGGGAACCGAGGCGGTCAGTTTGCGCTACTGGAGATTAAAATCTCCTTCTGCAGCAGTCCAGGTGTCTGCCTTGAGAATGACAATGCAGAAACAGAGAGAGGTTATCCACTGGAGGAGAGATAAATTTAATATGGTAGAGATGCATGAAAGGGCAATCTAATTAGAGGAGTCCTAGAAAGGAGTTTTCCTTTCAAAATAATTATACTTGATGCTTTTATCATGGACCACAGCAGTGAAACATCCACTTCTATTTCTGTGTAGCTTCTCCAGTACAGTAATAGATTCTTTAATTTTTAGGCACTGTGGCTGAAGGAGAAAGAACTTAAATGGTCAAAAGCAACTAGAACTCCTTTCTCTTTTGCCTTCCAACAACCTCAGATCAGTCAGAAGAATGAGTCTCTAAATAATTGAATTTATTTAAATTTAAACTGCTAAGACTGAAGCCTTCAAGGGTGTTGCTTTGGTGCTGACTCTCTGCAGGTAGTAGAGGTTATGTTGGAGGGCAGGGGAAGGAATAGCATCATTTCTGCTGGCTGTTCTAGCCAAAGCATTCTTTGAAGGGGATGAGAGCAGCAGCTGCAACATTGGTGTGCTTTGATTTAATTCACATGACTTTTTTTCCTTTTTTTTTTTTTCCTTTTTTTTCCTCTTACTAAAAAGTACAGTCCTATTTGTGGACTCTGCTCTGTTTTTCTTGGCTCCACCTATCTTGACAGCTTCACAAAGATGAAT